TAAAGAAAAGGAAAAAAAAAAAAAAAAAAAAAAATATATATATATATATATATATAGATAGATAGATAGATAGATAGATACATACATACATATATACTCATAGAAAGTAATGCGGTCGAATAAACATATTTGTCCCATGTCAAAATGTAAACAAGTTTGCACAACACCCAATTGTATTCATAGAAAAGAAATGAAAGTTAATTAAGCATCACAAAACCAACAGGACTCACACATCTCACTTCACCAAACTACAGAAAAGATAATACTAGGAGTTGTGCGAGATTTATGCTGTAAAAAATGATTAAGCTAACATGAAGGGAAGGTGCCAAAGACAGGTCGTAGTGAGACCACCCTGGAGCTGCCTCAACTAAATGTCAAACACATGGATAACGGCTAAGTTCTAATCTCTCAGTACTCAGCAATTAAGCTAGCACGCGTTGCAGCACATCATCTTAGCTCATTTTCAATCCAGACGACGTGGAGTTCCAGACAATGAAACAATAGCTCCATAAAGCGACTTCAATATCACATTCTACTAACCCAATCAACATAAGGTGCAGCATTACTAACCCAAAATACCTGCACCATTTTCCCAAAGGTAAAGATATTTTCATTTAAGGCCATCAAGGAGATGCTTCTCAGTGAAACAAAATGATAATACCAATTAACTATTTCTGACCAAAATCCAATATTAAAAACTAAAACGACACAGCCAGTCTATACTACTGTATATCCCATCCAGTAATTCAACAGACGATGGACGACATTGAGGTGTATATCCATTGTAGAACAAGCATTTAAATCTTCATATTCCCACTAAGCATCAGAACCAAAAAAATTCAAATGATTTCTAACCATCCATTCTCAAACTGGTGTTAAAATCTCAGAGGTCTAAGCCCAGGCATAAATAATTGCTTGCAGCTGCACCAAGCTACAGAGATAAATACACTTCCTATTACTACTCAGTCTGACTACAATTAAAAATAGCCCCAACATAGGTATTATAAGTGCTTATACCAGCAACCAACTAGAAGCATATGCAGATATTATTTTACCATTTAAACAAGCTCTAACATGGATGTTAGCAACTCACCCATCAGATCCTTGGTTACATGCAAAGCAGAGTTGGACAAAAACACTTCTGCTGTGCTATTATACCACATTGCAATACACAGGATATACCACGAACCAAGACAGAATGAGTTTAGACATGAGGTAAGAACCAGGAAAAAATAAGCCATATTTCAAAAATACATGGATGGAGAAAAATCCAAGCAAACACTGTTCAGGCATCAAAAGGTCCACAAGAAGGCACAAATCATGTCATTTTTCTAACAAAGCATACTGACAGGGTCATAAATTATATAGTGTGTCGGACCTCTTTACTAATAACCGGTCCAATGTCAACTCCAGCTTCAGTTCCAGCATTTACTTTAAGGATTTTGGCCCGCTCCACAAGCTCATGCTCCCTGAAAATAATATCAAGTTGGATCACTTTCTGAAATACATTTAATGTACACTATGCATTCCATAAGAATTATGCTTTACGCTTTTACAGCCTTTACAGTACCAAGTATTGGAATATTAACAACAAAATGTCTGTAAAATGAAACTAGGACGTAGAGAAGGATATTTGATCAAACCACCACATCTAGAATCAGAAATCCTGCTATATGTCAATAAGTAGAGGTGACACTTGAGGCTAAATAAAGTGAAGAACATGGTTATGACATGTGTTAGTAGAAACCAAGAATCTCCTATATACAACTACGCAATCCCATTAAAACAGGTTAGAAGAGGGCTTAAGGATGTAATCCATAGCATTAGAGTGGGTTGGATGAAAAAGAGAAGTTATAAACGAATTTTATTTGATGAAATTATAATGCAAGTTCTTTACAATAGTTGTTGGATCATCTACACTAACGGCATTGGGTGCTGAGCCTTTAAAAGATAAATTGTTCAAAAGATCAATGTAGTGGAAATATGTTAATATGGATAAGTTGCCTTAGTAGAATATGGATAAATTACATGAATGGTTACTGAAAAGTACATCTGATTTTTAGATCAACTAGTATCAATTAATTGTATCTCAAACTTCATATAAACAGATTGAAAGAGATAATAGGAACACCGAAAGAAAATGGCAGAGAAAAATTTTAAAAAAATGCAAAAATGTTCGAATTAGTGCTAATGCAACTGAGGTCGATTTGATTTTTCAACTTTTCTCCCAACATTTTCTTTAGTTTCTTCTTTCATAGAGGTCAATTTGAGGAAAAAATTGTTACTACTTAATAACTAAACTTAAAAATATATCTCGATGGTAATTGAACTATGCATCGTGCTATAAATCTATCATTCAAGTCAACGTCATTTGTTGAATTTAACGGATTTTTCCATTTGAGTGATGGATGGATAACACGGTGCATAGTTCAGTAACCATTAAGATACATTTTTTAGTTCAGTTATGAAGTAGTAACACTTGGCAAAGTTCAATGACCATTAAGATATATTTTTAAGTTTAATTATTAAATAGTAACATACGGCAAAGTTTAGTACCCATTCATGTAATAAACCCACCTTTAAAAGACAAATTGTTCACAAGATGAACGTAGTGGAAATATGTTAATATGGATAAGTTGCCTTAGTAGAATATGGATAAATAAGAAATGAAAATTTACACCAAACTAGTATAGCAAGACACTGGAGGTCATGAAAAAAGCACAATCCCACTTTTACACTTAAGGTCCCTTTATTCACAAAGATGGAAATGTAGTGGAGAATGTCATCCAAGGATTAAGACTCTACTTATAGGATTTTAACAAGCTTTTATGAGTACTAGGAACATATATAGACTTAAAATACTAAAAAATTTAGATAAAACCAAATGTAAGCAATAAAAAAAATTAGATAAATACAAGGAAGTTGAGACAAGAATGTTAAAAGATTTAAGTAAAACAATAAGAGATGATAAAGAATTATAACATTCATGAATTGGTTACAATAGCTAGACACATTGATTGGGAAATGGTAAATCGAAGGAAAGAAGTCAACCTAAAATCATATGGAATGAGTCCTTAGAATATAATAGTAAATATTTGTGGTTATGCCAAGTTTCAAGCGGACAAACAATTGGAAGCACTTTAACTCAAGCAGAACAAGTCTGTCGCTAGATATAACGGGGAGGAAGAAGAGAACTCATTTAGCCGACAATAGATAAATATGGGATAAGGCCCAGATCAAATAATTTGAGTATTTAAAGTCATAAGGAATATCGATGTTTTATACTAATAGAAGAATTATGACTAAATGAGTCAACTTTCTCTTTCTATTTCTTAATGTGCATTTATATTCATTCCACTCATGCTCTCTCCACTTACTCCTTTCATCTAGCTTCTCTCTCCTTCAAATCCCATAGTTGTGCTAAGTAAAAAAATTTGTTAGAAAATATGGTGACAAAAAGTTTTTTTAAATTTCTTTAAGCCCACGTTTGGTTCAAATAAAATATTATACTAAAATCTAAGTAAAAGTCAATAACTAATTTTAACCACACCTTTTATAGGTCACCATTTTAATAGAATATAATAAGTCCCGTGCCAAGCCTGAAGACAAAGGCACACAGAACGAATCCCCTCCTACCTTTTCTAAAATCCATAACTTTTCAACCACATATTCCATCACCCTTTATCTAAATCTACTAAAAATCTGATTTTTATTTAACCAAATAGGGGCTATATTTAGTTCTCTACTAATTATAAAATTTCTCTCCTTGATTATAGAAATTTAATTAACTAGTTGCATTGTATAAATAGGCTATTCAACTCTTGCACTATATATGTTATTGTAACTATATCCAGGACTTAATATGAATACAGTTACAATAGTAAAAAACCTACATTGTATCTGAACCAGAAATTTTTCGGGCTATTTCGTTATCGCTGCCTCATTGTTGGTTCATCCTTCTCCCTATGAATTTTTTCGCTTCTACAATTAGTCATGTTAGAAATCTCACACAAGTCAGGTTATATTTCTTCTGCAAACCCAACCATAATCATCACCAGTTTTAAAAACTCCACACTCCAGATTACAACTGGAAAACTAAATGGAGAGAATATTTTAAGAAGTACAATGAACATAATTGTGAATTTGAGATGTGGGATGAAGAGAATTCAAGGGTGTCATATGGCGGCTGCTGAACTCCATGAAATCAGATATTGGGAAGCCATTTCTTTATCTCTCATTGGTTAAAAAGGTGAGGGAGGATGTTTCAAGGACCTACTCTAAGAAACAGAATGTTGCTCTTATCTATGAATTAAGCTGGCAATCCACAATACAAAGCAACGTTATCAGGCCCTGACAATCTACTATAACATGATGGTTTCATTGCAGGAGCTAGGTCTTCTTTAATATTCAGAGATGGTAGCCCCTAAAGATGCATCAACCTTGGCAAAGATGTTGGAATGTCCGTTTTGGCAAGCCTGAAACCGGAATTTGAAGAGGCGAGAAGTGTGGTCCTCAGTAAAGAACCTAATCCTTGGTCTTGACAACGTATTATCTTACATATTTGATGAGGAAAGCATGGGGATTGAAACTCTCAAGAAGTTTAGACCTTGAAGATGAAGACACGAAGAATTTTCGAAAGTTATGAGAGCAAAAGAGTCTTGGAGAAAGGGACGCTAGTGCGAACATTGCCAGAAGTTGTGATATACAAGGGAGGTTTGTTGGAAACTGATGGGAGGCAAAACAACCTTGAAGTAGGCTCTCCAACGGACGGTTGTAGATAACCCTAACCTTGAGACATCTCGATCCTCAGAATAAACCCCCTTCACTAATGGTCAACTTGAGCTATTGTATATAGTATTAGGTCAATCTGGGTCTTCTTCCCATTCGCCAAGTGATATTTATTTGCTTCGCAAGTATTTAAAAACATTCCAGCAAAATCCTAGATCAATGATTTAGAGGCCTCTAGTCATGGGATAATTGAGCTGAAGTGTTTCTGGTCATAGATTTGATTTTTTTAATTTGTTATATTTAGTTTAGTCACAGCAGTTGGAAATATTCTCTCATTGACTGTAGAAATATAAGTAGCTAGTTTCCTTGCTCAGATAAACTAGTCAAATCTCACCCTACAGTTTCAATTTGCTCTCTGAGCTATCCTTGCTCAGATACACTAGTCATAGCAGTTGAAAATAATTTTTTCATTGATGGTAGAACTATGATTAGCTAGTTTCGTTGCTAAGATATGATGCTAGTAAACTCTCACACTACAATTTCAATTCTGAAAACATATAGAAGTAAATAGAAGTGGTATCAAGCATAATCTAAGTCACACCATGGGGCCGAGCCTCCGACGAAAACAGCTATGCTCGGACTCATGCAATTATGGACTTTCGAAGCCCCAAAACCAGAAGCAACCAGAGCATCCAATGTAGCATCAGCACTTGCATCAGGCATGATTATCACATGATTTTTTACTCCCATGTTAGACTGGTAAATAAGCAGAAGGGGGAAAAAAAACTCATGAGAACAAAATTTTCATAATCAGTTAAGTCTAGCTAGGTGGAATGCTTTATTGATAAATAGAATACTCACTTGAATACATTTACCTTTGGCAGCAGCCCTAGGATATATGTGCATTAGAGCCTTCAAGTCAAGTGAAAAAAATGTAAGAAATTATTTTAGATGCATATTCTTTAGTGAAATGCTTGGAGAGAACATACAGTGACAACATAATCAATCAGTAAGCTCGAAAACACAAATCTTTATATACATAGAAAAATGTAAGGCTTTTGAGGCATATAAAGTAACTGTATACATTGGGGGTTGTCATTGATTAACATAAGAAAAAGATGCATCATAAAAACCAAAATGAGCATCCAGTTGCATAGAGGTTTGTGTCTGAAAAGGTGTAACCGAAAGCATAATTTAGAAAATGAGAAAGAACAACATACAGTCTTTGAGCTAACAGATGATATGGCTTTTATATCATCATCATCGCATATATTATTGACAATCTCCTGCAAATAGACAGAATCTTAATTAGAACTTAAACAATTTGCTACTACCAGAAACAATCACTATTAACATAGTAAGATCAATAAAAGAATAGTGCAATCAATATTCTAAGTAAACAAAGCATTCGTCGGTTATGGAGGACAGAATAAAGAAGACAAAACTTGTCAGGCGCAAAGAGGGATGTTCATCAATAAAGAGGTTGTCACACTGATATTAAAACCTCTTAAAATCATTCTATAGTGATACTTATCTTTCCCAGGAGAACAATAATAACAACTTATGAAGAGAAAATGTGCATAAATACAGATCCCCTGGCAGTGTCTTCAAGTACACCAAACTATAGGTGAAGATTGAAAAAGAAAAGATAAATTAGATCCTATAAATACCCTAGGATCGTTCACTGGATGTAGTAATAAATGCTTCTTCAAGGCAAAGGCTTACATGATTGCCATGAATGATATTCAAAACACCAGCCGGTAAACCTGCTTCAGCTGCCAATGCAGCAATCATCATTGCAGCCCCTGAAAAACACAAATGCCTAAAATGAAAAGGCTCATGCTGCAAAATTAAAGTGCCAAAAAGCATTCACACAGTATGTCTTGTCAGCACTCGTGATATATTTAAAAAAAAAAAAAAAAAAAAAATTGTCTTCCAGTAAAAAAGATATGAAGAAATTTCATAGGATTCCATGCAAAGTAAGGAGTTAAATTAAAAGAGTAGACATTCATCAGAAAAAATTATCTGAGTGCTGAATAATGAATAATTTGGAAAACGTTTCAGATACCCTGATAGGCTCTGGCAATTAATCTATAGAACTACCCCCACTCTATCATTGATTTGTTATTTGAAGCATATGTATGTTAAGACTTAGAGTTCCATCTTAAAAGGTCAACCTTGTTAAGAAGAATAGTCCAAATTCTCAAAAAAATTTATGTTTTCATCTTTATTTGATGTAAGATTATATCCTTAACATGCCCCTGCAAGATGGTGGCCCCATTAAGCAGATTAATTTTAAAATCCGCATGCTCATTTTTTGAATTTTAATTGGATCGAATTGCTCATTAAAGCTTAATGGGCTCTGATACTATGTTAAAACTTGGAGTTCCATCTTAAAAAGTTAACCTTATTAAACTCTTATAAATTTATCCATGTTTTCATCTTTATTCGATGTTATCCCTTAACAATGCCTATCATTAAGCTAATAAAAATATTGTTAATTTTCAAAAATCATCATGACTTATTACTCCTCTAATCTATATTGAATGTCTCAATCCCCATTCTCCATATGGATAAAAAATGCCTGTTGTCCAAATTAAATCTTTGCACAGTGTGTTTTCCACACCTCTGCTACACGGTGTCTGTGTCATGCGCAGGTTCATGCTTTACCGCCAGATTCGCATAATCCTTTACTTTTTTCAGAATAGGGACATGACCCAAGTGTATCCTAAAATTGGACATCGGTGCACAATTTTTTAGATAATGTGATTTGTAATTTCTTTTGCCATGTAAAAGCAAAGACCGTATATTTTTTAGGACTTCAGGGTAATTGGTTATATAAGATCCCCTATTAGTATACCCAGCATTAGAGTTTATTCTGAAATGCTCATGAGGTAACTATTTAGTGAAAAGATGATGGTTCGAACATATTTGTTGAAGAAATGATTTGAAGACCATCAGGGAATCAATTCCTGATTCTGCGACTGATTGGTTAAGTATATTAGGGAATTATTTAGATTGGTCGAAGAATATCAAGGATCCCTCATTTATCTGATTGTCTAGTTTTCTTTCCTTAATTTGTGTAATCTGTAAGTTAGTTTCCTTTATTAGATAGTATTGTACACCATGTATACTATAACTCGTTTTACAAAAAGTATGGATGAAAGCTTATAAGAAGAAAGCTTTGCCAAACATACACTAACTACTTATTTTTTTCCTCATGAACAAAATGTTATGACAAATTTAGTAGCTAACAAGAATTTGTTTGGCATTTTTATTTTGTTTGCAGTATCAATTGTCGTCAACATTTTCCCATAAAGCCTGATTTAGTCAACTATTTGCACAGATGAGACCCATGTGACAATAACATCAGAGGAATTGTTATGGACTGATAGACATATTATGAAAATATGCCACCACTTATCTAGAACAATCAAAAGAATCTTGACATTAAAATAACCACAAAACAGAAAACGCAAGATAACAGAGTAAATCCAGTCAGCTTGATTGAGCCCTAAATATCAAGGGCATCATCAACAAGAATTTTGCATGCAACTTACTTCATATTAGAAATATACACTACACTGGACAACGAACTGCCATATCTTTTCTCAGTATCTTGCTTCCTTAAGTAAGTTCGTACATATTGCCCCCTGCAATAGTAACACTAACCACTCTTCCTCACCAGTTTAATTGTCTTTACAAATTATGATGAACCACTAACGGAGTCATGTCAATAGTCTACAAAGATATGACCATGTTTATCATTTTTCTGACACTTCCATTTCAAAATATGTGAATTTCCACTTCATTTACTTACTGAACTTCTTTCTCATTCCATCGTAGATTCCCAGTCACCAGATCCTTTTTTATCTTCTGTTGTACTTCCCAGGACATCTCCCAGTTGGTAACTCAAGTTTAGGAACATTACAAATGCTTTAGAGAGAAACTCAACTTCATGGACTAATCATTAAGATTATAAAGCACAAAAAGATATCTTAAAATTGAAGAGAGATTGGTGGCAGTCACCTGTATTATGTTCTGATGATTTCAGTATGAACGTATTTCCACATGTAACAGCAATAGGAAACATCTGCGAAAGCAGTAAACGTGCATTCAAAACGAATAATTTTTATCTTGCTCCACATACGTACATGAAACAGCCGATACCGACAGACAATTAACAGCAAAAGACAAAAAGATTAGGTACGATGAAGTAAGCAATTATAATAAAGAAAGCTTTGGGTGCACTTAAACCATAAATTAGACTAAAATAGCTTGCTTAGTTAAATTGAAGGAACTCAACGATAAAATATTAGTAGTTTTTATCTTCCCCAAATACATGAATCAACGAACACCATGCATCTTGGAAAGTAAGAGTAAAAGTTCAGGATTTCCTTATGAGAACACTTTTTTAATTCAATATAATTCAGAAAATTTGGCAGCAGACACCCACAAACACGCTATAACAAGTATACACATACCCATAAGGGAATCATTGACGGATAACTTGAGGGACATATTCCAGCACAAACACCAAGTGGTTCTCTAAAGCAATATGCATCGACTCCATTAGTAGCATTAGGTAAATACTCCCCTATTTGTAGAGTAGCCATACCACATGTTTGTTCAACTATCTCTACAAGCAAAGGAAGGACTAGGTTGAGCCAAAATTATACTTCAATTTAGTGAAATTAGAGAAAAAAAGAGGAGAGGAAAAACTGCAGGATACAGGGCAGGTTACCTAAACCATAGAGCAGATCACCTTTGGCACCATGCAATGTCTTACCCTGCTCTGTAGCAATGCTCATGGCAATCTTGTCCTGTACATACAAAAATGCCAATGTTCATTGAAATTTAGTAGCCAGAAGTTGAAATAAAATCAGCCATACAATATCTCTGCGGATGAGATCCTCCAACTTGAACATGATCCGCCGACGAGTGGAAGCAGTTGTGTTCTTCCATGCGGGGAAAGCATGTTTAGCAGCAGTTACAGCAGCTTTGAACTCTTCATATGTAGTCGTGGGAACTTGAGAAATTATCTCTTGTGTTGCCTGTAGTACCGATCCATTAGACTACTACGCCACAAGCTCAAAAAGAAAAAAATGATATATAGGAATCAGATTCCAAAGATAAAGCTTACAGGGTTTATAACATCAATTATTTCACATGCCTGTGATTCAACAAACTTCCCACCTATATAATTAGTAACCTTCAGCTACAATTGAACTCAGACCACCAGCAAAGAAAAGAAAGTCAGAAGTTAGTGTCAACTGTCATTTGGACAAGGAGCCAAGAGACATAGATAGTATATAAAAAGGCTTAATATATATATTCTCTTACACCAAAACTTACAGGGCAGACGCATGTTGAAGTCTCAATTGATGTGTCTACAGGAGCAGACACATTGGGTCTCCATGATTTAAAACTTTTATCTGCAGAAATAATAGCATTTTATTATGGGAAAGATAATTAACGACTTCAAATGTCAATCGGAATTCCGTGGAAGCAGTGACAGTGCATGAAACTTTTATTATCACGTGAATAACCAAAGAAATTGCTAAGCTAGATAACATGATAGCCATTGTTCTCGTCTTTGATTAAAGTTAAGGATTCAAGATTCCAGCATCCAAGCCACAAGAAGATACACCTTTGTCTAAGGAACAACAATTAATGACAAAAGAAAAAAAAAAATTAGATACCTATGCACTCAATTTATTTACTAAAGAATTCTTAGTCTAGACGTTTCTATATTATCCAAGACAAAATCACCTCAGATGAATTTGCAACAAGCAAACATCATCCTAGCTTGGAAAAGTTGCAACGAAATCAAAAATCTGGCGATAGCACAGACGAAAGATTTAGGAGTTCTACATAGCATTTTAGTTTAGAATGCTTATACATTGTCTGAGATAACAATACTGAAGTTGAATTTTCAACAACCTCATATCATGCTGTCTTAGAGAAAGTTGTAATGAAATAATAACTTAGGTGCTACATGAATAAAAATAGAGGTGGTTAGCTATACCACCGTGCACATGTTAACAGATTCTACAGAAAGCCCCAACATATGATCAGCGAAAAGATTGAATTAGAAATTTTTACCCATCAGTCATTTGCTGTATCGAAACACAACAAAGGGGCAAATGCCATTGCATCGGTTACAGAATTAAAGAAAAAACATATATATAGAGAGAGAGACATGTGCACCAGGCTTTTAATATATGCAAACCAGCTTACTTGTAAACAACTAGCCGTAGCAATCAACCTCTCTATGAAAACTTCAATATACCACTCCAAAAAGGAAAACCATTACTATCATCTTTCCAGCAAAACAATTTCATATAACTATCCTTTTGCTCTTTCTAATTTCCTCTCTTCCCCTCTATTTCCTTTATAATGATTGAGCTTCCAATCGTGTAAGTTCCCAAACTTGGCTATAACAGGTCCTTCTCGTAACAATTTTCTTGCTATTACCAAAACCAACTCTTATATACTTGCCTCATCGCAAGCATCTTCTATGCCCAGGAACTTACCAAAATGTTACAAAATTGATCTTAATAGTACTATAAATGACCAACTACAAGCACAGTATGAACACTTAAATATTCATTTAGGATATGCACCAATTAACTGATAGGATGTGATGAAGGAATCTATAACTATCAGCAAACAGGTACTTTCAACTAATAAGATAGTAACGCATTAAACCTGATATATTCCCCTGACGGATTTTAGCTTTGACATTGTAGAGATGCCTCGGTGTTGATTGAAGATCTGGATTTGTTTGCTTCAGAGCCTTGAGCACTTGACGAGGTTTGATACCAGCTTCTGTCATTAGCTTGATTTGCCACACCTCTTCTTCTGTAAAACGACGACTATAGGGATGCTCAGACATGTCTTTCAAAGGTTCATGGTTGTGCTCACCATTTTTAATTGTAAGCACCCAAACATCATCATCCTTTTTACCTACAGCTTCAAAAGGACAATTTATGAGGCGTGAACTCACTTTCCTTTTACGCTTGCCCTCTTCAATCTTGCGTCTATTACGATAAACACCTCCTCTATCACAGCCAAGTAAAACTCTTCTATCCTTCTTAGACTTTTTGATCGTCACCACATACCCTTGGCTGGCACCAAAATCACGAACATATTTGATAAGGTTGTCACGATCTTGAAAAGTTCGTGGTTGAGGTGGAAGCATCAAGTTTTGCCCATTGATCTCTAATTGACATGGTGCTTCCATTGTCACAGGCACAAGGCAGATATCTGGCAGAAAATAAAATAAAAGTAAGACACCACATTAAAAAGATAAAATATTTAAGTTCCTCGATAAAATGAGATGCAATTTTAGAATCTATCCATTGCTCTCATACTTATATGTATGTTTCTAATTTTTGGAGAGACAAGCCCATAGAGAACGTGGCATATATATTCTAGATAAATGCTTAATGATTATAATTTAGTAGGAACCTCATCATTTAGGAACAGCCAAATTAATTGGTGTCCCAGGCTGAGAGCTTTGGTTACGTCATCCATAATTTCTTACTTGAAAACCATCTTCATAACACAATTCAACCCCCAAAATTTCTTTCCATTCTAATACAATCCATTCAAGCACAATCTGTACACCTAATTCTAGTATGGGGAAATTCAGTTCACTTCATATTTACCAAGCTGAGGTGCAAACAGTTTCGAACAAACCCAAAAATGCCTAGTATTTAACCTTGGGAATCCCGCTTAATAAATGTAAATGTCAGGAATAATAATGGTACCAAATTATATGACCTAAAAATGGTGGAAAGACATCAAGTCAATTCGCAAACGTCTTGAACTGTGAAATGGTATCCGAATTCAGATTAAGCTTAAGAGCAAGTTTTAATTATAACAGAATCGTTAACTAATATAAAACTGATTAAGAACAGTTCAAAAGCAAACCCAAAATCAAGACACGAATTTTATTTGAAGAACTATTCAAACAAGAAATGATATAACTTGAAATGCCAAAACAAATACAAATGTATTTAAACCAGTGATTTCTCCTGAAAAGAAAAAAGAGCAACCTTTTTGTTTGCAAATCAAACCAATGCTTTTTTAGCCAAACAATTCGCCGGCGATCACAATTCCTTTCAATTTTTTTGATCATCGAAAAGAGACAAGGGAGAGTGAGAGAAAATATGGCTAAGACGGTTAACTTGTATACATATACATGGATGTGAATAAGGAGGGGAGAAAGTGAGGGAAATTTATTTGAAGGTTCGACAATGGCTGGGAAAAAGAGGATCCGGGAATGCCCCTCTAGCTTTTGGAGACCTTGTAGTGGTGTTTGTATCAACGCTCCTAAAACGCGCGTGTTAAGGCTTCTAGACTCTGGATTAGGGATAACAAAATGTTTGACGGATAAATCTTGATGTACATCAAATAATATATACATAGAAATATCCACACCCTCAAATGGGGTGGGATTCATCTCATGTGGGTCTCATCTACGAGGGGTGTGAATACCTCCATATACATATTTTATGTACATCAAGCACAATTAATATTTGACCCAACTCGACGTACAAATTTATTTTTAAATATAAATTTCTATTTGTTAAGCCCATGTGCTTATTTGGTAGGAATTTTGAGAATTGATTTTTTAATCATTAGAGATAAAGTGGTCCTACTTGTAAGAGAAGAATTCAAAAATGACGATTAGAATAGTGAAATAACGATCAAAAATTTGATTTTAATTGAATTAAAATCTAAACCAAACAAGCATTGTGTTCGGTATGAATTGAAATCAAATTTTTTTTAAATTAAATTCAACAATTAATTTTAATCACATATTTAATGTGATCCATAATTTTTCAAACAAAATCTACTAAAAATTTTATTTTAATTCCCACCAAACAGAAGTTAAATAAAAATTTTTGAAACTATTTAAATGAATATGTGCATAAAAATCGGAAAACGGAATGTTTGGTTTTTGTAATTGACCGATTGGATTGGTTCATCGAAATCCAAATTATTCTTATAAGCTGACTTGGAAACTTTGTTTAACATAGAAAAAAAAATTGACTGGAAATGAAAATATGTTGGCTCTCGTTTGTGAGTGATTTTTCACCCCGAAAATTTGATTTTTTTATTGTTATTTCAGTATTTTCAGTCGTAATTTTTTACTTCTTCTCTCATAGGTGGCCTCCACTTTTTTCCTAACGATCAAAAAATCAATTCTCAAAATCAATTCCGAATAAGCCATTAATCTACACTAAGCCCTTATTTGAGTCACATTATTTCCCTAAAATTGTATTTTTTAATGGTGTATTGATGCAAAATGTGTAGTTAAAAATAAGGAAAATTTTTAGATTTGCATGTAATATTATTTTTTAACAGTTGATTTGATATCATTATTTTAATACAACTAATACAACTAATCATTATTTTAATACAACTAATCAATAGTAAAATAAATTAATATAAAATTTATTATTTCAGAAAATAAAAATCTATAGTTTAAATTATTTAATAAACTAAATTTATAATGCCATAATATTTGAACTGATTTATACTTCAATTTACTTCTTGCTCTAAAATAAGGAATCATCATACTTCATCCAAATAAGGAAACGGAAATCATCTTCTATCCATAGTGAGTACGTTGAATTGTCAAAAATTATAGACTTGACCACTAACGTGACAAGATAACTCTCACCCACCATGGATAAGTCATGACTTCAAAGCTAAGATTTTAATCACAGGAGAGAGCAAGAAGAGCAAGCTTCGGCTTGTCCTTTCAAGTTTTCTTTGATCTTCTACTCCTGTATTTTGCTCTAGCTGCGCCAAGACACTTGCATTCAGATTTTAATGTCATATGGTTGTAACTATGGGAACTCCAAGCTGACTCATCTACTCCAAGATTCATTAGGTAACAGCATTATTTATTTTCTGCCATATCAGAAAATGTCTCTAGCCCATCCGAAAGTAGACTTTCATTTTTAGATTGTTAGATTGGGTCCATATTTTGTTTACCATATGATGAGTGCTCTACACTCATGATATTTATGCTACCTAATTTATTATTTTGCTACTCTTGAGAGTATTTTAGAGCTTTTTAATGTGTGTTTTGATATTGTGAGGTAGGTTGATGAAATTGAAAGAAATAAGGAAAAGTTGGCCAAATTGGATAAAATGGCCAAATTGTAAGAAATCCAAAGTTCGAGAACTAAAGTGCAAATATTGAAAAGTTGTGTTGAACCTCGCGATGAAGATCCGAGAGTGCTATGAGTCAATTGGATGAAAAAAGATGTCAAAGGGATCAAATTTAGTCAAAATATGATCACAAATCAATTTCCAACCGAAAAGTTAAACCTTGGAGTTTCAACCTCATATTGAGACACATTTTTATCATAGCAAACGATCAAGTTAATGAATGACGCCTGAAGCAAAGTTGTAACCCTTTGAGGTAGCTTTCCAATGCATCTCGAATCACCTCAATTGTACATCGGATGTAAAAGTTATGCTAAAAAAACTGAATGATATGCAGTCTGCCATTTCGACCGAACCGAGTGCCGTAGCGCCCATCTTGGGCTCCACAACGCCCATACGACTGAAAATTAACATAATAGGTGGCGCCGCAGTGCCCATATTTGGCGCCTTGGGAGAACGCGTTTTTATGTTTTTGGACTCTTTTATTGGCTCAATTCAACCCTACTTCGTCCAAGACCCCAAACATACTATAAGTATCATTCAAAAAAACTCTATTTTCAAGAAGAATGGAAGGGGGCAAGATGGACGAATTCAACGACACAATTTGAGCGAAGCAAAAAAATTGAAGACATCAAAAGGAATGATGAACAATATCAAGGAAGAAGATTGAAAATCTACCCAAAAGACTAGTTTTTTCTATCTTTTTCCTTATGTTGTTTATTATAATTCCTATGATTTTCATTTATTATATCATGAATTAAACAATTTATCCAGGGGATTGATGTAGCCGAATCAAGATTATGATTTGATGATTTTATAATTATTTCTTTGATTTTCCCGTATATATTTAATTGTATCATGATTTTAATGCTTTCAATTGCCTAATCACCAATTAGATGATTTGATGCTAGTCAATTCGGATGCTCGAGAGAGTGGGAATTTAGGCGTGATCATAAGAGTGATACAACATAGAATTTATAGGTTTCAAAAGAAAGTATAAATCTATAAAACTTACTCCACAAAAGAATCGGACTTTTATTAAATTTTTGATTTTCAATTTTGAACAGAGATGTTAGAATTGGGATCTAGAATTAATTTCTAATCGGTGCTCGAGAGAGGGGGTTAGAAATACATTAGGATTCTTGCTTTTAAATATGGGAAAATTAATTGAAATAAATCGAATTCGATGAATCATAATTGAAAGTTAGGTGAAATCAATCCCTAGGCCCTCTCATTTGATAATTTGTATTCCCCAAATTTGTCACATTCAATCACGTTAGTTTAGTTTAAATTGTTCATTCATAAAACATCAATTCAATTATACATTTATCTAGATAAAATAGAAATTGCATAATTCTAGTACTTAGTGAAAATTAAATACAATCCTTGCGGGTTCGACACTCTCACTCAATACTATATTACAAAATTTGACACCGTACACTTGCGGTTAAACCACGTTGCATAAAACGCATGGCTCCATAATATGGTTATTCATTACTGTATGTGGTGACTCAAAACTTAGATGTTTGTTTAAATTAGTCCTTCAGATCACGATTTAAGTGAAAACTCTGAGTTTGCTTAATTTTGCAACCAGAGTTCGTGGAGTTGAGTTGGGTCCTACTAGAAAGTGAATTGATACTGGTCAGCTTCAAAAGATGAAAATGATGGTATGTCCACTCTAAAGCAAAACCTTCGGTTAATATATTGTCAACCTATAGTAATCTCATCTTGGTTTTGGAACTCATTCCTTTTCAATTATCTTATATCTTTTTCGGCTTACAAAGCAAGACAAGAATCTAGGTCCAAAGATGAAGCTTTGAAAACTTTTGAAGAGAGCTTGCAAAACGAACAGAGTAAAGCCAAAGGGAAGGATCAGATTTACAAAAACCAACTAAACAAGATAAAGGAGTTAGAAGGACTGCTCGAGCTAAAGACATCACTCCATGGCCAATCTGAGAAAAAAGTTTCACATCCTTCGAAGAGATTAAAGATAAAGGAAGAAACTTGTGAGAGACTTCAATAGAAGGTATTCTTCTAAAACCATCATTTGAGATTTATACTTGCATCTAAGCAATATTTTGTAAATAGCTTGAGCTTGAAATTTTTTTAATAATTGTTCTAATAATATATCTGAACCTTGATGAAGGTAGTAGATCTTGAAAACAAGCTCAAATTCCTAGAAGAATTTGAGTCTATAGCATACCGAGAGAAGGTTCTCTGATTTTACTCTTTGCAGAGACTATATTCGACTGTTTCAAAGATTTGAATTTTATCAAATTTGTGAACCAGGTTAATGATTTTGAGAGAAGGCTAAAAGAGCAAGTCCAAGAGGCTGAATCTCGCACTGTAATCCTTCAATACAAGGTAGACAAAACTTGTCATTGCATTGACACGGAATCAAGGTCGAAGCAATATTGTTTGTGACAAGCTAATTCTAACAAGTTCTTTTTTTGGACTTTGTAAGGACTTAGGATCGATTATTCACACAGAAACGTTTTGAAAAACAAGTAAATTGCAAAAAGTAACAACACCAAGAATTTTTAACCCTTAGGGCCCAGATGTTGAGTTGGAGCCTACTCATCTGTTGATCATTTACCAAGTATATTTTGCTCAAATCCACTAAAATCACAAGGAAACGATACAAAATGTATGAAGAAACCACAGTTTCTTCACTTGAGTTTTCTTTCGCCTCCCTTTACAAAGAAATTGCTATCCTCGCAATCTCTCAAATTATATATGTTCGCTAAAATACTACCGCAAGTGCACGGGTCGCGTTCAAGTAATAAAGTGGACCTTTTAAGTCCGGATTGTCGATCCCTCAAGGAATGTTTACTTTAAATTACACAACTTTAATCAATTTAATTCTAACAATGAAAATAAACAAACACACAATAAAGAGTTGATTTTAGAAACTAAGGAAAAAAACATACAAACTAAGAAAATATAGAAATCTTGGGAATTTTGGAAGAAAACGTGGTTGGAATTCATGATTTCGTTTAACCGTCGCCTAATTAATTTCTCCACATGCCAATTAACGAATTACTCATTTACGATGTTAGACCCGATTTTCCAATTTTAGCTAATTACCTCTCTCTAGTGAAATCCACCCTAATTGATTGGTTTAACCTACTATATCTCTATGTCGATTACAACCAAACAATCGCATTAAATTGTTATGAAAATAGCTCATT